ATATATAAAATATATGAAAAATTGATGTGGGTACTCAAATGAAAGGTTTTGATGAGCGTAGTATCGGGATGAGCTTATATCTTTAAAAATGTCAATATTTAAAAAAGTACAGTACAATATAACAAAAGCCATTATTTAATAAAGTAAAATTTTATTTATTTAATAATTTTAATTTAAATAAAAATTATTATTTTCAGTTATTGCACGCAAGCTACAATTTTTACGTGTGGCCATCAGCACCAGTTCTCGCGTGGTACCTCTGGGAGAACCGCGAAGCCGTAGTAGGCAAACGAATCCTCGAACTAGGCTCCGGAACCGCGTTACCCGGTATCGTCGCTAGTAAGTGTGGAGCACACGTTACCTTAAGTGACGCTGCTAATTTACCAAAAAACTTGCAGCACATCAGAAGAAGTTGCGAGTTGAACGGCGTGTTGTCTCAAGTTAAAGTCGTTGGCATTACTTGGGGTCTCTTTTTATCAAGTTTATTGAGCATCGGTCCACTGGACATAATCCTCGGCTCAGACTGTTTCTACGAGCCCACAGTCTTCGAAGACATTGTAGTAACAGTAGCCTACCTTTTAGAGCGAAATCCAGGAGCTAAGTTCCTCTGTACCTACCAAGAGCGCAGCTCAGACTGGTCCATAGAGCACCTGCTCAACAAGTGGGGCCTCACTTGCAACCAAATATCTCTAATAGGCTTAGGAGCCGACGCGGGAATTACTCTTGAAGAGTTGATGCAAGATCACACTATTCACCTACTGGATATCCGTAAATCCGATTAATTAATAACTAATTAATTAACTCTTAGTAAAATTTTTATTATGGCTAATGCTAAAGTTGCAAAATCATTTTACCGTCTCACAGCTGTAAATCTCCCCTGGACAGTCGGTGATTTGCAATTAAAGCAATACTTTTCTCAATTTGGTAATATTGTAAGCGCAAAAGTATTTTTTGATCGTAATACTGGATTAAGTAAACACGCAGGGTTGATTGAAACAACTGACAAAGATACTTATGAAAATATTATTTCAAAACAAAAGCACTCAATTGAAGATAGAGACATTTTTGTCCGTAAATGGGTAGAGTAAATTTTATTTAAATAAATTTTCACAAGTAGATAAGGTTGTACGGACAGTACATTTTTTTTTTATTAAAATTAAAAATTTTAATGCGAAAATTCATTAACATTATTATTGATTAAAATAAATAATTTAATTAACAAAAACAATAAATAGTCAAAGTAATTTTCTACCAAACGTGGATCTGGAAACATTGCACTTAACAGCTGTTTATAATCCATAAAAATACACAGGAATTATTAAAATTCAAAACGTTGCCACACTTTTGCATTAAAATATCTTTAAAAGCCTTAGTCAGAAAATTTTTATTTTACTTTTAACGTACACTGAAAAAAGTATTTTTTTTTTTTATTGAAATACAAGTTTTTTATTTTGTTAATCTTCCTATGAGGTAATCACACAGTTTCTATAAGCTACATGTTAAATTTCAATTTTTTAATAATTTATTAAATAACCCTACGTCAGATTTATTAAAAAAAATTAATTTACCAATTTATAACATATCAAAAAATTTAATTTTGAAAAGTGCATTAGTGTCCGAACAACCTTAAAGTAGACGATCACAATGATGGCTGATGAATCTGACTCAGAAATTACCGAGCTAGAAGAAACTTTTTCCCGAGCAGCTAATCACCTCCAAAGTATGGTCTCCAATTTGGACTCTGGCCAGCTCTTTGCCTTTTATGGCCTCTACAAGCAAGCCACAGTTGGAGCTTGCGACACTGCCAAGCCCAGTTGGTACCAAACTCAAGCCAAGTACAAGTGGGAGGCCTGGAAGGCTTTAGGAGACATGACCAAGGAAGTTGCCATGCAGAATTACGTCAGTGCTATCACCAAACTGGATCCCAATTGGGAGCAAGATGCTAGGGTTGGAAATAAATCCTGGAACGCGGTTAGTAGCTTGCTCAAGACGGATGTAGAGATCTCAGATAATGAGAAGACGCTTCTGGACTGGGTTAAAGATAGCAATGATAAGAGGGTCTGGGAAATCTTGTCCACTGAAGCTAAAGGCTTGAATACTCCTGATAAAGATGGGATGATGCCTATTCATTGGGCTGCTGATCGAGGTAGTCTACCGACGATTAAGTGTCTTATTGAGTATGGCGCTGATGTTGATGCTCAGGATAATGACGGGCAAACTGCGCTTCATTATGCCGCTTCTTGCGGGCATGTTGAGGTGGTTGGGTATTTACTGTCCGTTGGGGCGAAGTTGCTTAAAGACAACGACGGGTTCTCGGCTAAAGACATCGCTGATCAAGATTTAGTAGCCATGTTTGAATCTTAGGGTTTTACATTTGTATTGATGATTTATTAAATGATGAACTGTAAAATGGGATTATTAATAAAAAGTTATGTAAATTTAACATTATAATTTAAGTTTTATTTACGCACATACAAATTAAACAATGGTAATTGTTTACAAGTCGGGTCAACATTTTGGGACTAACTAGGTGGAAACTTAACATTTTTTTATTCTGCTAAAATTTCGTGAAAGAAAAAAATTAAGATTAGATAAATTTTTTGCCTTCAAAGTTGAAAAAAATTTTGGCTCATGTTTTTAGATAAAATTTCTATTTTATCTTTTTTTGATATATTTTTATTTTTGAAAAGTATATAAAAAAACGAACAATTGAGTGCTTACATGCATTTAGACATATATTCTAAAGATATAAGCTCATATCGATGTTGCATTCATCAAGAGCTTTCATTTAAGTACCCACATCATTTTTTCATATATTTATATATATATTACATATATGTATATATGAAAATGCATGTGGGTACTCAAATGAAAGCTCTTAATGAATGTAACATCGGGATGAGCTTATATCTTTAAAAATGTCATTAGTTAAAGTACAATGTCATTTCTAAATTATTGACATTTTTTAAGATATAAGCCCATTCCGATGTTATACTCATGAAGACCTTTCATTTGAGTACCCACATCAATTTTTCATATATTTTATATATTTATATATTTTACAAATACCATATATATAAAATATATGAAATATTCCATGTGGGTACTCAAATGAAAGGTCTCGATGAGTGTAATGTCAGGATGAGCTTATATCTTGAAAAATGTCAATAGTTCTCAAGTTGAATACCCCATTTTTCTAAAAAATTTATAAATTTTTTTTAAAATCTGTTAAAATTGTGATAATCAACTTCCTTATCAATTGTTCATTTTTTTATGTATTTTTCAAAAAAAATATATCAATAAAATTAAATAGAAATTTTGTTAAAAAACATGAAAATGAAAATAATTGACCCCACTTGTAAATATTTACCGAAACAATTGTTATAATTTTATTAAAGAAACAATTTTTATTTATTTATTTACAAATAAAATCCTTTAATACTCTCCAATATTCACAGCCTAAGCTTTCCTTAGGTAAATGCGTGCTCCATTGTCGGCGTGAAATTTTTTATAAATAAATTATATTTATTGTTTTTTTCTTTTTACTGTAATAATAATAATTATTTTAAATGGATACTGTAGTGCGTCAAAAAATAATTTTATGGTTCTGTTGTAAGTATAAAAATAATTTTTCTTCACATTCAATGTCTTTTGTTAAGCAATTACGGTGAAAAAACGCCGAGTAGGTATAGATTGTAATATATAATATATAATAGTAATAATAATAATAATAATATTAAAATTAATATTTATAATATTAATAATAGTAGTAATAAATGTAAGGAAATTTCTAAGCCGCAAGTATAAATGTAATGACTTACTCGAATGCATAAAAAAAATTCTACACAACGCTTGTGGTAAATATAAGCGTGAGTATTAAAACACATTATTTTAATATATATTGTTATTAAAATAAACTTGCATCTTCATCACAGTAACCCTATCAAATAGGTAATTATAACATAATTATAATTATAATAACCAATAATAACATAAATATATAAATTTAAAATCTATTCATCCTACTCAGCTCGAATATATCATGGTAGTAAAATATCAAACTTTTGTGCGATTAAAAAATGTTTTTTTTTCACTAATGTAAATAATTAATAAAGTTTGTAGAGATCAGGAGCACTTCTAGCGAACGTATTATTAATTTTTTACTTTTATGAAAAAATTTAAGTATAAAATATCTAGTTTTATTTATTGTATTAATATTAGGCACCAATGTCGGTTGACTGGACGCCAATTTAAGAGTCCTGATTACAAGGAAGCCATGGCATCTTTTTATCTATTTTATCTTTTTTTGATATATTTTTTTATGAAAAGTACATAAAGAAACAATTAATTTAAAAAAAAATTTGAATATCACAATTTTCTAAAAAATTAAAAAATTTGTTAAAATTGTGCTCAACTTTTTTTTTTAAATCTTTCATTTTATTATGTATTTGAAAAAAAAAAAAAAAAAAAAATAAGGTATAAGACCCAGTTGCTGACACTGGCCTAGTTTTTTGACACTTGCAATTTTATAATTAAAAAAATAAAATGTTCTCAAAAAATCAATAATTAAAAAATTTTATTTATTAATTTATGAGAGTTAATTTATTTTTTTATTTAAAATAAAATTGCAAGTGTCAATAACTGGGTCTTTTACCCAGTTAAAATTATATCAATAAAATCAAATAAAAATTTCATTAAAAAAATGAAAATTAATACTTGTAAATATTTACCATTTAAATTCATAAAAAATAAAATTTTCGAATGTCTACTTTTTGCATGATACATTAATTAAACATAGCAATGTCATGTTGAACCTGCTAACGCAAGTAACAAAATTGTTGGTAAAATTTATCTGTATTTTAAAAAAAAAATACTATCTAATTTTTAAAAGTTTAAGATTAATTAATAAATCAATTAATAAGTAATTAAATTACTTAAATGATTGAGTTAGATGTGTTTAAATTACCCTTAAAGATTAGTACTCTCGTGATCGGATTTTGGTCGCATGGTTGGAGGAGGAGGAGGAGGAGGTTGAGGTCGTGGAGGTCGTTGATGAAATCTCGGAGACACTGGAGTGTTCTGATGAGGAGGTGACTTAGGAACTATCACGGTTTCAGTCTGGGTTTGGACGTCGATGATATTGCCCTCGGAGCGAGTCCTGGAGTGGGACTTGGTAGGCTCAGGCGGCAGATCCGTCGGCCGAGGAGGTTTCTCCGGACGGTCGTTGGTGAACGAAACGGAAGTGGGTCGGCTGCCTACACTAGGACTCCTCTGAAGGTTTGGAACTCCTCCGTTGGTCTCCGCGGAGTTGGAGTTAGAGTTGGAGTTTCCTCCACTACCTCGGACTTGTATTATACTGACCTGCTGTTTGTCAACGGAATACATGTGAGTCCGCTCCAGAGTTAAAGGCTGTAGTTTATATTTTATGATTGTATAAATATTAACTACAGTTTAACTGATGAATGTATTGTATTTTAAATTACTTACACCGACGTCGGCGTCCAGGTTGTCGTTACTCTGCCGTAGGTGTTGGCGCATCAAGCTGGAGGGCCGGGCCAGCCCAGCAGGCCGCTCTGGGACAGCTGGTTTACTATTTCTCTCCGGTGTTGCGTTGTTCCCATCGATTTTTTTGTTACGTATTTCCACTGAGTCATCTAATGATCATTAACATAAGTAAATTTTTAATTCATTTACATATTAAAGAGCTCTATTGACTAACTGATAATGAAATAGATAAAAATTTATTTTCGATGGCTTTATATTGAAGTGTTGTAATTTTTTTAAATTTAATTCTTTTTAAGTACAATATTTATTTATAAAGCCATCGATTTATAAAGTTATTGATTTTTTATGATTTTTAAATTAGTTGACAATTTTTATAACAAATCAATTGTAATTAAAAAAATTATTTTCAAAATTTTTACGAATAATTTTTTTTTTTAATTTCAATAAAAAAAATTTTGCTTTATGAATAATTACTTTTATCAAATTGCACTGTACTTTTTTAAATATTGACATTTTTAAAGATATAAGCTCATCCCGATGTTACACTTATGAAGGGCTTTCATTTGAGTACCCACATGCATCTTCATATATTTTTCATATATATGTATATATAATATATATAAATATATGAAAAAATGATGTAGGTACTCAAATGAAAGGTCTCAATGAATGTAACATTAGGATGAGCTTATATCTTTAAAAATGTCAATAGTTCTCAAGATACAAGGTCGTTTCTTAATTATGTTAAATTGCACTGTACTTTCTTAACTATTGATATTTTTAAAGATATAAGCTCATCCTAATGTTACACTCATAAAGAGCTTTTATTTGAGTACTCACATGCATTTTTGATATATTTTTCATATATACATATATATGATATATATAAATATATAAAATATATGAAAAATTGATGTGGGTACTCAAATGAAAGGTCTTGATGAGTGTAACATCGAGATGCGGCTTATATCTTTAAAAATGTCAATAGTTATCAAGATACAAGGTCATTTCTTAATTACTAACATTTTTTAAGATATAAACTCATTTTGATGTTACACTCATCGAAACCTTTCATTTGAGTACCCACATGGCATTTTTCATATATTTTATATATATAGTATTTGTGAAATATATAAATATATAAAATATATGAAAAATTGATGTGGGTACTCAAATGAAAGGTCTTGATAAGTGTAACATCGGGGTGAGCTTATATCGTTAAAAATGTCAATAGTTCTTAAGACACAAGGTCATTTCTTAAAATAGATTACCTGTAGTAGGATGAATAACATTTGTTATAGTACGTGGTGCCGCAACAGGCATCTTACGTCGTTCCAAAGTAGAGGTTGCTGGTTTTTCAGCGGGAACAGGTTTTAATTTTATTGCATCTTGATTTTCACCAGAATCAATAGTTCCTTTAGCTTGAACCTGAGTTCCTCCAGTTCCACTTCCAGCACTAATGCTCGAAGTCCTTGAATTAACAGCCTCAAACCCAATGGGCGGATTTGGATCAGAGTCTTTACGTTTAGCTTCAACATCATTATCAATTCTATTATTATCAAAAATTAGAGGACGTGGTTCAGTTATCTTATCATTATTATTATTATTATTATTATTAGTCACAATTGTTGAGTCAACATTAGCAATGACTTCAAATCCTAAAGGCGTTTTATTGCTTTCGTTCTCCGAAACTTTCTCCGTTTTATTGTCATGATGGGTCATCAATTCAGTATTAACTTCATGCTTTTGAGCCTTGTAAGTGTGGCGGTTTAGAGTTGCTGTGGTTAAAGGCCTTGGCGGTTTGTCTGGAGCAGGCGGTGGTTTATCATCGACCCGCCGGTCTTGTTTGTCGGGAGTACCACCGCCTCCGCTGTTCCCGGAGCCCGGTGGTGTTGGTGCAGGTTTGTTTTTTCTGCGAGCTGCCGGTTTAGGGCTACCTTGTGGTGGGCTTTCTCCTAGATCGCTCAAACTGCTATTGGAAATGCATCTACGCATCCCAATAACTTGCGATTCAGCACCATTTACCATTCCGAGGTCTAAATCACGGTCGAAGTCTATTTCGCCGGGAAAAAACCAGTCTGCGTAGGTTATCAACTGCTCGACTATGAGACTAGAGTTATTAGCGGTACTCATGTTCATTCTGTTAAATTAAACAAAAAAAAAAATATAATTATTATTATAAAGCAATTAAATATTACTAGCAACCTTGCAGTCACTGCTATGTGACTGCCGTTACTTGTGAATTATAAATAAATAAAATTTTGCTTCATTAAATAATGAATTTTGTTAAATTGCACTGTACTTTCTTAACTATTAACATTTTAAAAGATATAAGCTCATCCTGATGTTACACTCATCAAGACCTTTCATTTGAGTACCCACATACATTTTCATATATTTTTCATATATACATATATATAATATATATAAATATATGAAAAATTGATGTGGGTACTCAAATGAAAGGTCTCGATGATTGTAACATCGGGATGAGCTTATATCTTTGAAAATGTCAATAATTGATAAGAAGCAATGTCATTTCTTAACTATTGACATTTTTTAAGATATCAACTCATTTCGATGTTATACTCATCAAGACCTTTCATTTGAGTACCCACATGGCATTTTTTATATATTTTATATATATATATATATATATATATGGTATTTCTGAAATATATACATATATATATATATATAAATATATGAAAAATTGATGTGGGTACTCAAATGAAAGGTCTCAATGAGTGTAATGTCGGGGTGAGCTTATATCTTTAAAAATGTCACAAGTTCACAAATAAAATTTGTATAAAAACTACATAAAGCGTATCACTATGTCATTAATTTTATATAAAATTTTTTATTGTATATATTTTATATACAAATACTTACACCATGGTATTAATATCTTCCTGAGGGCTCCAAATTAAATTAGGAGCAATAACAATAGCAATATTCTGAGGCGACATTTTATTAATGTCACAATTCTTGGTAAGAACAGCCAAAAATTTAATTAAAAATTTCAAATTTTCTAAATTAGCTGGAGGAAGTTTGTGAAGTACTTCCCAAAGAGCTCTTAATCTAGCGTCGCTTTGACTTATTTTTGCAGCTGCCATCCACTCTGGATATAATCTTAGAGAAAAAAAATTTTAACATTAATAATATAATCAAAAAAACAATTTCGTTGACCGAAAACAAATTATTTATTTTAAAATAAAAGTCTACTGACGAGTAAATTCTTTATTTATTAGATAAAACATCTACTCAAAGATATAACGACATTAAATCAGTATAAGTCAACGTCGAGGTCAAATCAATTTAATATTCTCTGGTTGACGATCTATCTCGACGACTTAATCTAACGTAATAAACCAAAACGATCCGTTTTACTATTTAACCATTCATCAGTTGCTTATGAAAGCAATCACCGCAACAAACTCAAGCGTTATATAAATAAATATAAATGTTAGTCATGCAAGATTTAATTTTCTTAATTTAATTATAATTAAAAACTTACTTGTAGGTAAGAAGAGGTTCAGGTAATTCTCTTAAATAAGACTTCAAAGCACCGGCGACGACATGAGCGTCTTTGTACTCCAACGCAGTGGGTAGTGTTAAACAACACGCGTCTAAGCTTAATTTTATTCTTCTTAATTTAGACGCACCACCTGCTATCCTAAAGAGTCCCTCTTCTTCCATACCAAGTCTCAGTAACGTTGATACGCACAATTGGATAGGTAATGCTATTTTTCTATTTGTTACCCTCAAATGTTCTTCTAGCGGGTAACCATACACTGGTTTCATCTCATTGTCATCTATAATTAATTTATTTTATTATTATTTGTTCATTTTATCACGATTAGGTCAAAGTTCATATTTCTATGTCATGTTTTATAAATAAACATGTTTATATCATTATCAATACTTAGAAATTTTTCAAATTAATAATTTATTATTATTACTAACAATACTAATAATCTGGATACATAATTAAGAAATGACCTTTTATCTCGTGAGCTATTGACATTTTTAAAGATCTAAGCTCATCCCGATGTTACACTCATCAAGACCTTTCATTTGAGTAGCCACATCAATTTTTCATATATTTATATATTATATATTTCACATAAATACCATATATATATTTTATATATAAAAAATACCATGTGGGTACTCAAATGAAAGGTCTCGATGAATCTAACATCGGAATGAGTTTATATCTTAAAAAATATCAATAATTACGAAATGACATTGTATCTTGTCAACTGTTGACATTTTTAAAGATATAAGCTCATCCCGAAGTTACACTCATCAAGACTTTTCATTCGAGTACCCACATGACATTTTTCATATATTTTATATATATAGTATTTGTGAAATATATAAATATATAAAATATATGAAAAATTGATGTGGGTACCCAAATGAAAAGTCATGATGAGTGTAACATTGGAATGAGTTTATATCTCAAAAAATGTCAATAATTAAGAAATGACATTGTATCTTGTCAACTATTGACATTTTTAAAGATATAAGCTCATTCCGATGTTACACTCATCAAGACCTTTCATTTGAGTACCCACATCAATTTTTCATATATTTATATATATATATTATATATGTATATATGAAAAATATATCAAAAATTTGTGTGAGTACTCAAATGAAAGCTCTTGATGAGTGTAACATCGGAGTGAGCTTATATCTTAAAAAACGTCAATATTTAAGAAAGTAGAGTGCAATTTTACAAAAGTAATTATTTAATAAAGTAAAATTGTAATTATCCATAGTTCAAAAGTCACGGAAGTCACACAGTGACTGCAAAGTTGCTAGTAACAATAATAATAATTTAAAAAGGAAAATTTGAAACATAATTGATGATAAAGCGTAAAATCTAAATATTTAAATAACTTAACATAAATAAAATTATTTATCAATACGTAATATTTTTTAGATCGAAGCTTGACGAGTCATGCTTTCAGTAAATTACTATCCTCACGCTCATCTCAACTATTAAAGTTAATTAAATTAGACAGATTGAACGGTGAGCAACGAACGATAAATGAAAATGAAACTAAAAAAAAAAAAACAACTTACTGATATAACTCTCTAATCCAGGTATCAGTTCTTCTAAACAATGTAAGGCACTTTCATGGTAAGCTCGTTGAAGTTTCACGTACTGTATAATTGTTTGAGCAAGTTCCGTTTCGCGGGACATCAACTGGAACATTTCGGCGGCCAATTGATCTCGACACTGTTCCACTTTCGTCTCAGCCTCTTCAAGCTCTTCACGCAGGCTGTCTACTTTGGTAGCTCCCGTTCCTAAGATAAATTAGAGAGTGAAAATTTTATTTTATTTTATTTATTCAGTGCTTGCTACTCTATGTACTCTTAACGCCTGATAAATTTCAAAACTTACAATCTAATCCTAATTAATTACCAATTACACATAATGCATACCTCCAGCGTTGTGTTTGATAGCCTGGTGATATCTCGTTCTAGCGCTGTCCATATCTAAAGTCAATCTAGCTAAATTTCTCTTGTGTTTAATGATATTGGGTACATCAGTCTCGAGGATATGGTGAAGCGGTGCAGCGACGTACTGCTCGACTTTGGCTTCATGGTCTACGGTCTCGTTCGCCAGCGCGACTTGGGCTCGCCCGCACTCAGACAGCGCGAAACTCATCAGACCCTCCACTGCGGCATTCTCCAACATCGTCTGTCCCAGTATGTACTCCGGGCATTTTTTCTAAAGAACATTTTTTAAAGAATCAGCATACAATGGTATTTACTCACCGCTGACTCATCAGTAAATCATGCAATCAATTATAAGTATTACTAAACGTATACATACTAAACGTTTTTCCTTGTAAGCAGGATCCGATACATTTGTTTGAGTAGGCAATGTCCCCAGTCTTTTACTCAGTCCAGTTAATGCCGCTCTTATTTGGTCTACATGCTTGTCTGCTGCTTGCAAATCATCAGTCAACACTTCAGTTTTTCCTGCCCTGAAAATTAAATTTTTTTTTTAATTTCTTCTTTCAAAATTTAAATAAAATAATAATAAAGTTAGCCGACGTTTTTAATTTTTTTCATTTATTAAATAAGAACTAAATAATATTTTTTAAAAATTGCACTTTTACACAGAAAAAAAAATGTTTTTGAATCAAGTATATAATTTTGAAGAACTTAATATTTGATTTAAAGAAATTTTATTTGATTAAAGAATTTTTCTCTTGTATCAAGTTAATTCTTTTTTTTTCAGGGTAGTTTTTAAAGTTTTTTACGAATGAAATTTTTTATTTTATTTTTTTTGTAATCATTTTTTCAATAAAAAAAATTTTTAAAGTTTTTAGCAGTCGGCTTATTTAATTTTCATTTAAATAATACTAAAGTTAGCCGACGTTTTTAATTTTCTTTCATTTATTAAATAAGAACTAAAAATTGGACTTATAGTTTTTAACAAATGAAATTTTGTATTTTATTTTTTTTTTGTAACAATTTTTTCAATAAAAAAAAATCTAAAATTTGTTAGATGTCGGCTAAATCTTCATAATAAAATAATACTAAAGTTAGCCGACAATTTTAATTTTTTAATTTTTTATTTATTTATTAAATAAGGACTAAAAAATATTTTTTAAAAATTGCATTTATAGTTTTTAAAGTTCTTTACAAATTAAATTTTTTATTAACCATTTTTTCAATAATAAAAAATTCTAAAACTTTTTAAAAGTCGGCTAATTTAATTTTCATTTAAATAATATTAAAGTTAGTCGACGTTTATAATTTTTTTATTTATTAATTAAGAACTAAAAAAAATTTTTAAAAATTGCACTTATAGTTTTTAACAAATGGAATTTTTTAATTCTTTTTTTTTTTTAAATAAAAAAAATTCTAAAAATTTTTAGATGTCAGCTAACTTTTCATAAAAATAAATCATACCTGGAGAACGTCTGATCAGCGAGTTGTTTAACTCGAAAAAATTGTTTCTTCATTTTCCAAAAAGTAATCCAAAATCCTTTATATAAATTTAAAAAAAACAATCACAATTTAAACACTCAGGAGGCGTTTTTGTCGTCAAATTAAAAACAATAGATATGTTTTACACTTTGTATTATAATTATTATCTCGCACTGTTGATTGTTGATTGCCAATTAGTAATTACGGCATTCGATAAAGTCTCGCCAACTCATACATATCTAGGCCGTGTCCTTTAATAAGCACACACATAAACCATAAGCTCGAAGGATCTTTTGGTAGTGCTTGGCGTGTAGTCGTGTCGCAGTGAATCCGTCATAATGCTCAGATCATGATCTCACACATTTATACACCGTAGACCGCAGCCGGATATCTATATATACACATATGCATACAGATATTCAAGTTAAGTCCATGTACTCGAACTGGTAATATGCCTATAAGTGAGTGAATAGCTGAGCAAAAGAGACACAATAATATATTATATATAAAGACAAGACAAAGTTAAGTATTATATGAAGCGAGAGAGCACTAGTTAAGTTAACAACAGGGCCAGATAACCATAATCTATTTTAGTACATTTATAATCATAATAATAATAATAATACCGTGTTTTAAAATTTAGTGGGGCCTATCGGTATCAACTTATCAAATAACACTCATTATAATCTACACCAGCACAATTTAATATTTTAATATTGGTAATTTTATTTATTTAACTCTTTCTTTGAGTTAATATGAAACAACTGCGCGCGCTGTTGATCTTGACGTATCCCACACGTATTACTTGTCCAGAGTAATATAATTTATATTTTCTTACTTGCTTTTACTTTCGCTGATTCCGGCAATCTTCAGAGCCTTTAAAATAAAATTACAAATATATCTGTGAGTGTGTCTATACATATATTGTATACTAATTCTTTATAAATATATGCAATGCAAACATAAAACATACTTGTTCTGTATAGATGTCTGCAAGTTAAGTGTCGAGCATGGAGTGTAGAGTTTTATAAAATGAAAATGAATAAGCGCTAGTGCGTTGCTAGTTGCTTGTTGCTTCTTGACCATCAATCCCTCCAATAGACACTGAGCGCTCACCGAGAGATAAGTAACAACATGATATGATAGCTCAGCCGTGGAATGCTTAACATCAGTCGAGTTATCGTAATCCCACATACAATATATACAATCGCTAATTTTTAATTATATCAGTTTTGTATCGAGAAATGAAAATCGAGAAACGTCAATATGGCTGTTCGAGATTTTACTATCGATTGTGTGGGTGGATGTATTAATATGGTGGATACAGCGAGCGCGGCTAACTTCACGGTAATTTTTTTAAGTTTGAATTTTATTTTTATGATACTGAAGTTAGCTGACAGCTGTCACTTTTTTTAAGTTCTTATAAAAAATTAATTACAATTAGGTATAAAAATACTTTTAATAATTTTTGTTTTAATTTTTACATGTAGAATTTTTAATTAAATTTTTTTAATAATAAATTCATTGTTAGAAAATTATAAAAAAAATTTCTCAGTTAACTTCAGTGTTTTAATAATGATACTGAAGTTAGCTGACAGCTGTCAATTTTGTGAAAGTTAATTTTATTGATGTAGAAATTTTAAAAAATAAAAAATGCAATTTTTTTTAAATAATTGTCTGGAAAAAATCTATTTGTTAAAAAAAATTTAAAAAAGGATATGAGAGCTAAATTTAATCTTAATTTTTCAAATTTTTATAACAAGTTATTGAAATAATAAAAATTTTAAAAGTTTTCACTAATAATTTTTTTTTTATTTTCACAAGTAGAATTTTTAAATTAAATTTTTTTAATAATTTAATTGCTCCAAAATTATGACACTAAGTTTGACAGACATTAAAAATTTTTCTACAATTTTATGGCAATTAGATTATAAAAAAAAAAAATTGTATTAAAAATTGCACATGTGAAAATTAATAAAAATTACAAATAAAATTTTTTAGAAGAATTTTCTTATTATAAAAATTTTAAAAATTGACAGCTAACTTCAGAATCATAAAAAGTTTCTAATGTCAGTTAACTTCAGTGTCTATTTAATTGTTTTTATTTTTCAGGAGCGAGAAAGAGACAGTACAAGTAGGAAGTGGTGGAATCAACTTGATCAACAATGCGTGGTGGTTACTGGTACTGGTTATTGCCAGCTGGGTGGAGTGGGAAGGACATATAATAATAGGGATACTGGACCCAGTGCTTCGACAATCGACACATGCCGCGACCACCTTTCAAAAGGAAATACACGACTCCCGGTGGTCACTTACGCTAACATACGGATGTCTGATTGTTTTAAAAATTTGCTATAATTATTTTAATTGGTTTGTTGTTTTTTTCGTTTTGTTAAACTCTGTTCTGGTTCGGGATTGTTTGCTAATTGACGAAACATGGAGTTTGACAGAAGATTTTTAAATGTCCTGATGCTGAGCTTCGGGTTCATGCTCGTTTTTACTGCTTTCCAAACAATGGGCAATATTGAAGTATGTATTTATTGTTTTTCTGTTATTTGTTGATACTAAGTGTCACGTGTGAGTCAGCTGTCATTCTAAATAATAACAATATGATTTACGAATTTTAAATCTTAGAAATCAGCTGAGAAATATTTATTATTTTATCAATATAAATTACTTTAAAAAATTATTTATTATTTTAAGATTCTTGGTAAATGTTTTTTTTGAGAGATATCGATCATTTTTTTTATACTTTCACGAATTGCAACTTATATACACGTGTCGAACTAATTCAAGGACGAATTTCTTTACATAGTGTTATATTTTATTTATTTATTACTGTAAATACTTTAATAATATCATCACATTTTATTTTTAAAAATTATTTATAACTTCAATAATCCAGAAAGTTATTACTTATTTTATTACAAGATAACAATATTTTTTTTTTGTTCACAAGTAAAAAAAATTTTTTTTTCAATACAACAAGAATAAAATTGCTATCTACATGCAGATAAAATAAAAAAATTTTTTATAAATAAATAATAAATAAAAATTTGTCAGCAAAAAGAAGATAAGTGAACGATTAATTAGGTCGCTGAACAGTCTATCTACAACATTTTAATCTAAAAAAAAATATGAGTTATTTAATAACAATTAATACGCATTGTGTTATTATTATTATTGTTATATTATTTATAATATAATAGATTTAGAATAAATGTTAAGTACTTTACGAAACGATAAATAGCGAGCTAATGACCTCCTGGCATTTGGTGAAAGTAAATATTATATTAATAGAGATCAGTAGTCGAGCCCCCGACGAGAAAAGCTGTCGACCTTTCGCTCAACGTCAAATATTTAATTAAAAATCACAAAAGTCATCTAAAAATTTTCAGTCATATTAATCATCAATAGCCGTGAATATTAAAACCATTGCATTGACCTGAATCCAAAATGTCAATACTGTTTACTAAATACTAATTATCTAATTAATAATAAACTAGCAATCTGCAGTCACTATGTGACTGCCAAGACTTGTGAACTATAAATAAATGAAATTTTGGTTTATTAAATAATGGGTTTTGTTAAATTGTACTGTACTTTCTTAAATATTGACGTTTTTAAAGATATAAGCTCATCCCGATGTTACACTCATCGAGACCTTTCATTTGAGTACCCACATGTATTTTGATATATTTTTCATATATACATATATGTAATATATATATAAATATATGAAAAATTGATGTAGGTACTCAAATGAAAGGTCTTGATGAGTGTAACATCGGGATGAGCTTATATCTTTAAAAATGTCAATAATTCACAAGATACAAGGTCATTTCTTAATTATGTATCTAAAATCTGCATTTAATCATATAAATATACTGGCCATAAAATTTCGCTTATTCTCTTAATAATATAGACTAATTAAAAATAAATAATTGCAGAAAACAGTGTTGGAGAGCATTAAAAACGAGGACTCAAGCTTCAGCGGAGATGGTTACACAAGTCTAGCAATAATCTACGCAGCACTAGCAATATGCAACTGGATGGCGCCATCATTTATCTCAATAACCGGACCCAGAGTAGCAATATTCGTGGGGTCATGCTGCTACGCCTTTTTCATCGCTTCCTTCCTGAGCCCAAGCGCGACATTCCTCTACACGGCATCAGCGATTCTCGGCTTCGGAGGCTCGCTAATTTGGACTGGTCACGGTCAGTATCTAACGGAGAACAGCGATTCCGAAACCATGTCACGTAACGCTGGTGTTTTCTGGGCAATCTTCCAGTCGTCGTTGTTCGCGGGTAATTTATTCGTCTACTTTATGTTCACTGAGCCAACAATTGAAGGCTCTACTCGGCACCTGGTCTTCTGGGTGCTGACAGGCTTGTCAATCGTCGGGACGTCACTCCTGGCGTTCCTGAGAAGGCCCCCGTTGCTGCTGTCGCTCGGAGAGGCGGAAGGTGTCTCGCATGCGGACAAAGAGCTGGCGATGCCCGAGCCTCAAGGACAGAAAGGATGCACTGCTGCTTGGAATGCATTCAAGGACGCGTTGACACTGTTCACGACTCGGAAGATTCTGCTGCTGTCGTTGACATTTATCTACACCGGTCTGGCGCTCACATTCTTCTCGGGCGTCTACTCGTCGAGCATCGGCTTCACCGAGGCCATGGGTGAGAAGCGCAAGAGCCTTGTCGGGCTATCGGGAATTTGCATCGGCATTGGTGAAGTCGTCGGCGGAGCTATCTTCGGAATGCTCGCTTCCAGAGCTGGCCCCATTGGCAGATGCACCGGCTGGCCCGTGGTCGTCATCGGGTTTTTTGTCACTCTCTTTGCCTACATTTCTATACTTCTCAATTTGCCTAACGATTCCCCCTTCAGCGACACCAATCAAACAGGTTTCATCAAACCCGTACCAGTTTTAGCAATGATTGGGAGTCTTACGCTCGGATTCGGTGACGCTTGCTTTAATACTCAAATCTACTCGCTCCTGGGAGTTCTTTATGCTAAGGAGAGCGCTCCAGCTTTTGCGCTCTTTAAATTCTGCCAGTCTGTCGCGGCTGCGGTCAGTTTTGTTTACAGCAGCTACATTGGGCTACATGCCCAATTGTCCATACTCATTTTTTCGATGTTACTTGGAACCGTTGCGTTCTGTTTCATTGATCGGAGATACTCTAATAGGAAGAGCACTGATTATACTGAAACTGATACCACCTTGGGTAATAGTGTCAGTCATGAAGAATAGTAAGTGTTCAGATAGAAAAAAAATTAATTTGAATCAAGTAAATTATTCTTTTTTCTGACATTAAAATTAGCAATCGATTATTTTTTATTTTTTTTTTTTAAACAAATTTATTCCAAAAAAATTGCTAATTTTTTTTTGTCATAATTTATTTATTATAAAAATTATCAAAGATCTGCTCAATTAATTTTCATTAAAAAATTTTTTTTAATAATCAAATTTATTCCAAAAAATTATTTTTTTAAATTGCATTTTTAATTTTTTTTAATTTCTACTTGTCAATTTTTTTTTATTATAATTTATTTGTTACAAAAATTATTAAAGATCTGCTAAATTAATTTTCATTAATTTTTTGACTTGAGCAGAAAATTTTAAGTTAGTTTGTTAATTTTACTTGATTAAAAATTTTTCTGTTGATTCAAATAAAATTTTTTTTTTTTTTCAGAGGATTTAAATTAAAAAACAATTTTTTTCTCTACTGATAAAAGCATTTCTGTAATCTTATTAGTTGTTAAAGTTAGAGATAGTCCTTTTGTAAAGAGACTGGAAATAATTTTCAATTGGTGTAAATATTCAGCTGATTCTTAGAGTAGAGATAAATTATTTCAATTGTTGTTATTATAAGTGAACCTTGATGTAGATAATTATTATCAAATGATGTCGAGTAAAATCAAACAAATTTTAGAAATCATGTCGCGAATCAATAATAATAATCTATAGATTAGATTGAATTTTAAAGTGACAAAGTACCTGATACAATTCCTTTTTTTAAATTTTTACATCCGTTGATTGTAAACTTCAAATTTTAAATGTATATATTTCGTTGTTTATATAAATATTATATATGTAAGTAAGTATATTTCTGTAATAAAAAAATTTTATAATTAAAATTTTCCTATTTTATTTTCCAATTAATTTTTTTTTTAAGAGTTTATTTGTAATAAAAAAATTTTACAGGTGAAGAACCTTTTTATGAGGCAATAAACTTTATTTTAAAATTAAAAGTGAATGACCCACCTGTCAGTTTAAATTTTTCAATTTTTCCCGCTTAGCAACGCCATCTTGCGGATAAAATTTAAATATTGCCGCTTGATGATAAAGCAAATAAAATGATTCTGCCGTGGTAGTAAGTGTGTGTTACATCTATAAAAAAGTAAACGCAACGCTTGTCAAAGTTAAAAACAAAACATGCAGTGATTATTGTTGATTACATTTGTTTCCGGAATTAGCATGCAAGAATATTTATAGAAGGGGAGTGACCGTTTAACAATAAAATGTCAATGGATTGAGGAGTTAGTACCTGGAAAGACTTAGAATCATAAGAAAATCATTACTTACCTGACCACACATATTTTAGTCTAGTTAAATCTATATATACATATATTATATATATACACATAATCCTGAAATGCGTATTTCATCAGTGAACAATTGTAAAAGTGACTTATCCGAGTATGCTGCATCGATGATTTCTCCAAAAGACAATAATCGCAAAAATATTATTAATATTTATTATTATTTTAATAATACTAATAACAGTGTAAGATGTAATAATATATTTGAGTACTATTATCAAAAAAATGTCATTGCCATGGCTGTTATTTAACGTGATTTTCTCACGTGAATTATCGTCGATGGATATCTCCTTAAAACGCTGTCCGTACTCTCGAATTGCTTTTGATTAAAGATGGAGGAAAGTAACACCGATAAATTCATATCGAGAAGACGCTCGGTTACATTGAAGCCTCTTAAGGTTAAAGACGAGAGAGTTGCTACTTTGAAAAAGGTAATTAAGGGTTTTTTTATTTATGACATTTAAGTTAACAATCACTTAATCATTTTTTTTTTTAACAAACAAATTTGTTTCCAAAAAATTATTATTTTTAATTTTTTATAATTTTGTTAATTATTAAAGATCTGATATATTAATTTCCATTTTTTATTTTTTTTAAAACAAATTTGTTTTCAAAAAATTGCATTTTTTATTTTTTTTAATTTCTTCATGTCAATTTTTTTTGCCATAATTTATTTCTTACAAATGATTAAAAATTTAATTTTTATTTTTGGTTATCTCTCGGTATTTTAATTCGTCCATTTAAAATTTAAATCTACGTTAACTGTGAGTCATACTTTGTTTTCTTTTTTTTTTTAGGTATCCGCAATTCTAAATAAATCTGAAGTGAATAGAACACCAGAAGAACTTGAACTATTGTCTTCCTGTGGTGATATTGTCAAGGAAGTTAATTTAAGGTATTTAATTTTTTTTTTTTCTTTAAATATGACTGAAAAAAATTTTTTTCATTTTTAAATGACATTAAAAGAATAAATCAATTTTAGTTTATATTAACAATTATTTTATAACATTAATTTTTTAATTTTATTTAGCAAAAAAATTTGTTCCAAAAAATTGTTTTTAAAAAAATTGAATTTTTAAAACTTTTATGTCAATTTTTTTTTTTATTAAAATTTATTATAAATTTTTTTTTTTGTTAAAACTTGTTATAATTCATTTATTAAAAAATTTTTTCAACTATTAAACATCTATTAAACAAATTTCAATAAAAAAACCCCAAATTTTTTTTTTAAATCCAGACAAAAAAAAAGAGATAAAGTAAAAGCAAGATTAGAAGAAGTGGAAGACCCACCGGACCACTTAGAAGAAAAATGTATGAGATTAGCAGCAGCAATCAGCAGAGCAACAACCCTGACAGTCTACACAGGCGCTGGAATAAGTACAGCCGCCTCAATTCCCGACTACCGAGGCACAAATGGCGTCTGGACGCGAATGCAACAGGGTAAAGATATCGGGTAAGTGTCCCATCATAAATTATCAAATCCTCCATAAAAAACCCACTAACTCAAACTTTCCTCCCAGGAACCATGATCTCAGCCAAGCGGAGCCGACAGTCACTCACATGGCTCTGTATGCCCTCTACAAAGCGAATATCCTCAAATACATAGTCTCACAAAATTGCGACGGGCTACATCTACGCAGCGGAATCCCACGAAGCTCATTATCCGAGGTTCATGGGAACATGTACGTAGAGGTATGTCGTAACTGCAAGCCGTCACGAGAGTACTGGCGACTGTTCGACGTGACGGAAAAAACCGCGAGGTATTCACACGGGACCGGGAGAATGTGTCACAAATGCAGCTCGGTGCTTCAAGATTCGATAGTGCATTTCGGGGAAAGAGGCAATTTACCTTTTCCGATAAACTGGAATGGTGCTAGTCGGGCATCGAAACAAGCCGACGTAATTCTCTGTTTGGGTTCAAGTTTAAAAGTACTGAAGAAGTACCCGTGGTTGTGGCAAATGGACAGGCCAGTGCACAAACGCGGCTCACTGTACATTGTAAATCTTCAATGGACTCCTAAAGACGAGAGTGCTACGCTTAAAATAAACGGACGTTGTGACGATGTAATGACGAGAGTTATGAACCACTTAGGATTAGAAATTCCACAATACAATAGGTCAAAAGATCCAATCTTTTACCACGCGATAAGACTGCAGCCCAGTGAGCTTACCACGACTACTCAGCCGTGCTTAGAGGAGCCTCCAGTAGCTTTAAGTTGTAGAGATAAGTTGAAATTAAATTCTCTGAGTGAAGAAGTTGACGAAAATTTGGATGTTACTGACAATTTGGATGAGATTAAAATAAAACAAGAAGATGAAACAATACCAAAAACGGAAGAAGACTGCACAACCCCTTCCCCTATTGAGCTCGCCGAACAATTAACCGCCTACTCGGCTCCATTTTTCACAGCACTACCATTCCTTTCTATGGGCTTGCCATTTCCTCCCATGTTTTTTTACCCGCAAATGACCCCCTTGCTGTACTATCCTTTGATACAGTCGCCCGCGATCAAGCAGGACAGGAGTTTGATTAAGGAGCCTGATCCCAAACCTGCCTGTGGGTTTTGTATGGAGAATGAAGGCTCGCCTGTTTGTTTGTACTATCAGCTTGATGCTGATCAAACTGACCAAGCTAGTGAGGTTGTTGGTATAGAGGCTGGTATAGAGGCTGAAAATGAAGGCAATATTGAAGCTACTGAGGTTGAAGATGAGACTGCTTCTACTCCCACGGCTACTGCCAAGAACCCAGGGTGGTTCGGTAAAGGATACCGCAAGGGATTTCGCAAGAAGCGGTAGCATCAGCTTATCTCGGGAACGTGATTGATATTTCACGCTCAACTTATCGTAGACAGCATGAATATCAAACGAGGAATAACTCCCTTAAGTAATCTCCTTATTAAGAAATCTAAGTGTCCTGCTCTTATCTGAGGATATCATCATTATTTTATATTATCAAACTCATCTTTATTTTTATCGCGGATTTATTAATTTTTTGGTTGCTTCCCGAGAAAATCTGTTGTGTTATTATTTTATTTTATTAAGTATTATCAGCATTATTTATTTATATTATATATTATATATATAAATCCTTATACATTATTATTGTAACGATGATAATAATACTAATAATAACAAATGACTCGTAAATATTATTTTAGTTTTTTGGGTGATTTTAAATTTATTGTAATTTTTGTAATTTTTTTAGGGATGAAATTTTAAGTGTAAGACAATTATGAACGAAAGGAACCTTTGGAAGATTCATGCGCATGTAATGTGTCCACACAGAAAAAAAAATTTACTTAAATCAAGTAAATAATTTAAAAGAAATTCATCTTCTTAGTTTAAATTAAAAAAGTCTTAAAATAAAAATTTTACTTGATTTAAGAATTTTTCATCTCGATTTAAGACAATGAGCTTCTTCAAAATTATTTTTTTTGTTCAAGAATTTTACTCTTGATTCAAGTTAATTTTTTTTTTTTTTCAGTGCAATAACCTTAAGTGTGAGCTTGAAGATACACAGAAAAAAAATTAACTTGAATTAAATAAATAACTTTGAAGAATTTCATTTTCTCTATTTTAGTAGAAAAATTTTTTTTGGCTTAAGTGAATTTTCTTGATTTAAGACAATGAAATTTTTCAAATAAAGAAAAAAAAATTAAATTGAATGAAGAAAAAAATTTTTGAGCCAAGAAAAAATTTCATTGTCTTGATTCAAGACCAAAAATTTTTAAAATCAAGTAAAATTTACTTAAATTCAAGAAAAATTTCTCAGTTTAAAAATTTTTTTACTCAAATCAACAAGATGAAGTTCTTCAAAATTATTTACTTGATTCAAATTAATTTTTTTTCCATGTATATCTTGAAAATTCTCTCAATTATGCTATTCAATTTGACTCGTTCCACCATCTGGATAATTTGTTACAGAGTAATATTAGACAGGTACCTATAGAAAATAGAAGATATAAGACATGAGTGTTGGCAGTGTCATTGTCGATTGTCCTGATGATATCAACCAGGTATTTCTCAAAACAACTCAAACTAAAACTCGCTTCTACGCTACCTTGGGAGCTCGGATCTAGTATAACAGTACAGTAAGTACTATATAATAACTCGGATTCAACCGGGAAAGTTTCTCTGCAAAATGGCGCATACGTGGTGGGCAGACGAGTGGGAGCCCGGGTAGACCACCAGCGCTACAGAATCGATATTCCGTGAGCCAGAGGGGTGCTGAAGGGAGCGTAGGCTTGGGGAAGAGAAGAGAAGAGAGCCCGACGAATGAGCTGGTGTATTTTATGTGTACGTATACCAACGAGGGAGCGCATACTCAAAGAAAGTTAGAGAAAGAGAGACCTAGTCGCGACGTTTGTGGCCGCGGACGTGTCTCCTCGTGAAGCTAAAATTTTATTTTCTTCATTAAGAAAATCTCCCGTTTTATTTTTCATTTTTAATTTATTTTCACCTCTTTTTTTAGTTGTATTATTTATCCAAACAAAGTGTCTTACTGGTGCTAGTCGACGTGCTTGGATAGAAGTTCCAGAGTAACCATCAGTAACATCATCAATAAACATTAATATCAACATTGAATAGCATCAAGCTCAGTAGCAGTAATGAAGAAAAATACTTTTTTCTGCTGCTATTATTGTACATAGAAAAAAAAATCCAGCAGTGAACAGCAATCACTAGTCCAGCAATTCTAAATTGTTGGTGGCAATTCGACGGTCACGACGTCCCGTTCAAGAAGAAAGACTGCACGGATGACCCCGGCGTTGTTGTACGCGCGAGTCCTCGTGCTGCTGCTGCGGCTCTTATAAATACCGGTGAGTGAACGACGTACTACTTGTACTTGTCGTAGTAGTCAGTAGGAGTACACACCACATAGACACACACTCTACATTCAACATCTAGCATTCTATATGCTACATACACACTAGTCTGATAGGACACGAGATGCCGATTGTAGAATTTGCGAGAGAGTAAACACCAGAGAGAGCTAAGAGTTAAGAGAAATAAAGAAGTATTAGTATGAGGATGTTGAGACTTCAGTCAGGACTGAGTGGGAGTAGAGGTGTAGGTGTAGGAGGAAAAACCGCGGTCTGTTGCTATGGTGACACCCCTAACTATACTAGCATAGTATGGTATGGTATGGAGTTTCCAGTTAGGAGTAAGTATGGGTACACGCTCCAAGCTGTTGATACTTGACTGCAACCCCTACCCACTAGGGATACCACCCGGAATGGCTACAAAGCTCTGACTTTAACGACAACTGTCGACAGTCAACAAGGGTGATACTCTCCTGGATGGTGTAGTTACACCTGGCCAAGCCAAGGACACTCTTTATTTGTATTATACTTCTTGCGTTTTATTTTTATCATTTTAATTCGTTGTCTCTCCCTTGATTTTTTAGTTTGAGGTTGATACAGACACTCTCCCTTTCAGGTTTTTTGCGTTGTCAGAAAAACAACTTGTAATTAACGCCTCATTATTTATTCTGGATGAGAGGCCGGATTGTGATGATAGCTCTGAATACAAGTACGGAAGTCTTGCTGTTGGCATCTACATGATGTATGATGTATGTTGTGGTGGTCTGTGGGGACGCTGAGTATAGTATTGTCTACCTACTACACGCCACGAGAAAAGAGAAAAAATTTAAAGAGGATTAAACAATTGACGTCTATCAGGGGTTGCATTTGAGTTCCGATATATCACTGGTTAATAGCTTGACAAAGCTCAGCGTGCTCTTCCAGTGGTCACGTTTAAACAAGCCCCTGGCCATTATGTTGGTCACTCTCTTACAAATACATCGTCGCAAAATCACCATCTCCTCTTATGCTCGATGGCTGCTGGCTTAATACTCGCTTGTAATTGATGTTAATTAGTGCTATTGTGCCAAGCCCCAACGTCCAATCAGCCACCTCTTGGACATACTATTTATCTTTCTCTATTTGTGTTGTCTCTCCGCAAATTGTTTTATAATGATTCGCGGCGTGCTTTTCATCTTTAATAGTCTAGATTATTAAGAGAATAAGCAAAATTTTTTGGTTTCATACCATTCTCATCAATAATCAATATATAATGATAAATATTTAGGCTGCATTCGAAAATGCTCTATCTCTAGATACATAATTAAGAAATAATCTTGTATCTCGTCAACTATTGACATTTTTAAAGATATAAGCTCATCCCGATATTATACTCATCAATACCTTTCATTTGAGTACCCACATCAATTTTTCATATATTTTATATATTTATATATATTATATAAATTTATACATGAAAAATATATCAAAATGCATGTGGGTACTCAAATGAAAGGTCTCGATGAGTGTAACATCGGGATGAGCTTATATCTTTAAATATTTCCATTTTTCACAAGATACAACACCATGAAAGGCACAACTTCAGGTCAAGACTGTTCCAACGATACCAATTTCAACCATTAAAACCCATTTTATCACATAAATACACCAGCCACAAAATTTTGCATATTCTCTTAATAATATAAATTTCATTTTTCTAGATTTCTAAGTCTCAATACAGTGGTGGCTTACCAGCGCGCTAAAATATCAGCATTAAACATCGTAAGTTCTGATAACGGTAACACTAAAGGGGAACCGGTTAACACCGTCAGCAATACAGTAGCATTAAACCTGCCCAAAACTGATCCCACTACAGTGTGAATAATTATAAGGGTGAGAGTCCTTCCTCTGATCGGTACAAATATGTGGAAATTACCACGAAAATCTTAAATTAATACCCGACTAAAAATTATTTATTATTGAAAAATTTTAAGTTAAACAGACGAAAAAATTATTTTTAAATCAAACAAATTTTAAAATAAACTGACGGTATTTTTTTTTAACTAATAATAATTACTAAGTTTTCTTTACTTGATAATTATTGATTGATGTCATTAGTTGTTTTTACTTTCATTCCAAGGACTTGTCTTTGTAATTTTTCTTTACATACCTATTAAATGACACGCGATCGACCTAAATTGTTAGTTTGTTTTTTATAATAATTATTATTACGGAAAGTGATGAGGAGTGTGTTTAACTTTAAGTTAAAGTTAAAGTTGTAATTAGTATAATATTAAGATTTTAATATTAAGTATAATCATAATTAATAATTAAATTTATTAAAATAGGAGTAGATTTAGATAAATAATCCCAATTATCTTCCAAATATTTAATGTACTTTTTATTATTAATTATTTTACTTACTTTGTATACCTGACTGTTTTTTAATTCAATTTAATTCATCAATTTTAAATATAAAAAAAAAAGTGAGGCATCTGAAAAAAAATTCGGAAAAAAAAATTAATTATGTGTAATTTACGCAGTTATTATTCGTTTGCAGTATTAATAATGGGAGGCCAATTTTTTTTTTTTTTTTTTTTTTTTTTGTACTCAAATGAAAGCTTTTGATGAGTGTAATATCGGGATGAGCTTATATCTTTAAAAATGTTAATAATTAAGCAAGTACAATGCAATTTAACATAATTAAGAAACGATCTTGTATCTTGTGAACTATTGACATTTTTAAAGATATAAGCTCATTCCGATGTTACACTCATCAAGACCTTTCATCTGAATACCCACATCAGTTTTTCATATATTTTATATATTTATATATTCACAATACCATATATATAAAATATAATAAAAAATACCATGTGGGTACTACAATAGAAAGGTCTCGATGAGAATAACATTGAAATGAGTTTATATCTTAAAAAATATCAATAATTAAGATATTACATTGTATCTTGTCAACTAATGATATTTTTAAAGATA